GGTAAGATCAGGTACTGATGTGTTACGCACATTTGTTTCAAAGATATAATAAAATTGAAATGGAAAAAAGACAAAATTGCCTGACCAAAATAGTTTATTGTTTTTAAAAGATATAATAAATCGATTTCTATAATTTCTTCTGTATATAAAAATATTTGAATCAATTGTATAATTATTCCTGCATATAAATGTTTTTGTTTTGAAATTTTTTATAAAAATATTTAAATCAATAGTAAACTTGTTCCCGTTATTATTTAATATTTAACTTAATAACTTAATATCAATATCATATGTATGTACTATATCAGTACTCGTATGTTTGCACGGATATTAGTGTGGGATGTTAAGTTTCGTCAGTTATTTACAAATTTGAAGAAAAATAATTTAGCTTAAAATATTACTATTAAATTGTCAATTTAAGTTTAAATAGATAAAGTTAGTTATCTAATATACATACCCATATAATAAGTCAATGAAATCAAAGGAAAATGTATGATATGAAAGAGTTGCACTTGCACATCACAAATTAATCATATTGTATATATAAACTATCATGTTGTATTGAGGCGTTTTACGTAAACCCCCTTTATATTCATCATGTAATATAGTGATTCATATTTTATTTAAACTACTAAAAACCTTCATCAATTTATTATTTTCTGGTTTCATTTTTATCTTTTTCCCAAAAACCATTGATAATTTCTTTAAAGAGGTTGATTGCATCACCCCATTCCATACACCTATTTCACTCATTTATTTGAACTTCTAATATCTTCCAATTTTGAATTTATCTTATAACTTTTAGTACAGAAAATTTAGTTCATTTAATTTTCCTCCATCTCTTAAAACGACTAAATATATGAGTAACTTCTAAGTGATTTTTAAAGTAATAGAATTCTAGATACCCTTTCAATGACCTGAGATGAGCATACAATCACATGCAAACACCAGAAAAAAATGACTGATGAATCTTGAATGCTTGCTAGGTGCCTGCACCCTTGGGCACCACTTTTATTGTGTTGTTTTCATCTTTTTGGATTTCAATGGTTGTGTTTCTTTAAGGTTTTTGATGATGGGTGGGTTGCCTTTTAAGATATGACAGTGAGTGAATAATAGAAATTAATGATGGGTGAGTTGTTACCTTTTAAGATAAGACATGATAGGTTTTCATTCAAAATTTGATCACACATTAGGATGATATTAGAAATTAATGCAATGATATAATCCTTCCTCAAAAAATAATATACTATATAATTGCATAACATTTTTAAGACTACAAATATTAGAAAGGTATTGGAAAGTTAAAATCCAAGGATGCACAAGAAACACAAGCAGTATAGTCTGTTGTTGGTACACTTAAAGACAAGCACAAATGCTTCCAAAAGAAGCAAGCATGTCCATTGGAAGTAGTTCACACTTCATATCACTTGCTTAGATCAACCTCTACCACGCCCAACACTTGCCAAAAGAAGCAAAGGTATATGTTTTTCAAGCCACCATTATGCAATTCTCCAACAATAAAGGTTAACATTATTAGAACCAACAAATTGTGATATTAATACATCAGATTTTCAATAATATTATCGACATCAGGACAATAAGTAACCCCACTGCTCTCTTGTGCATTGGACACAATTGTCACATAAACATTTATATACCTTGGCATTATACCCTCGAAAATGCTACCATTTTCGCAAGCTTGAACATATATAACCTATAAAAAATAACACCTCCATGATTTAACATAAATTAACATCATTTCTAGTCATTATTTTACATGTGAAATGATATCTTAGTATCTTTTTGTAACCTCTAGATGCACTTATTTTCTTTAAAACATCAATGAAATCCATAGCATATACATATGGCATATTTGGCATCCCTACATATTAAAAAAGAAAATCACTGATATGTAATTTCTGTCTAAGATAAACCTACTTATTAAAATCTATGCTTATGTGTTTTACATAACAAGAACTCCAGGGCCTCCATGATCAGAGTAATACATAAATATTATATTATATGCTTTGCTGTTGATGACCTTGTTACTTCCACCCCTAACTATACTCCAGTCCGATCACCATAAAAAAATTTAACAAACACTTATAACCTGATTTGTCACACTACCAGCAACACCGACACCTGAACAACCAGCACATGTTTTTTGCCTTGAAAAGTCATTTAAATCTTTACATGCGTAAAATTCAATATGAACACCATTTTATATAATTATATTAAGTCTGGCCATGTACATTATATAAATTTAAGAATTTTAAATATTAACGTCCGTTCCGGATTGTACGACATTGTTATCGTAAATTAGTATTTAGTGTCATCAAATTTGTGTTATATTTTTACTAAATTGTTCTCTTAAAACTGATAAACAATCCGGCTTGAATGAAATAGACATGAGTTGTCTCTGTAGAAGTAATTACACAATAAGTGAATAACAAATTATGTATAAACAATTACCAATAAGTGAATAACAAACCTGACAGGAAATCAAGAGTCTGCAAGTTAACACAAATAACAAGTTAACTAATGTTGAAATTATACACTTCTTTTGGATTCTGAACTGAATGGTCAAATCCGTTGATCATGAAACACCCTGCTTCAATAAAGATTCATCATCCATTAGCTTCGTGGGAAAGTGTCTTGGTGCAACGACACAGAGAGCGATCAAGGTACGAAATACAACAATGTCATTTGTAACACCAAGTGAAACCTCAGTTGACATTGAATGAACAAAGAAATAATCTAAAACAAACACAAACACAACACAACAAACCCTTAACAAATCAATATGAGGATCAATAATAGAAAGAAGCAGAAAAGTAGAATGAATGAAACATGAGAAACACAACTACTTACAATAAAAGACGTGGAGGTAATGAAAGACCCAATGCATGTTTATTTATTATAAGGTGGAAGAAGAACCAAAATGCTTTGAAAGAAAAAACGAAATCCTTTTGAAGAAGAAATGATTACAAAGCATTGGTAATGCCATAAACAACTGAGGCGTAAATTGAAGGGATTTACATCGAATTCTTCCAAAAGTTCTATTATTTAAGAAATAGTATTTAATTTTGTTAAATCAGAACATTCCACCATTAATAGCAATTTTGTCCAATCAGAGCATTTCATCATTAACAACAATTAATTATTTGGGCCTTAATTCAATAGACAAAATTAACCCTTTAAAAAGCAAGATTTGACCTATAATTGAAAAGGTTAATTTTGTATAATGCAACACATATTATTTTCTTATACGGTAGATTTATATAAACGATAACTAGTAAATAACCTGTACATTCACACGGATCGTGTAAAGTCGATATAAATATTAAATAAAGATTATATAGTTATAGTTAAAAAAATATATAAAAATCTATACAAATTAAGAGAAAAAAGCTTTAAATGATGATTATCACATAAATTTTAATTTAATTTATTAAGTAGTAATAGTTGTCAAGATATACATAAAAATTATGTTGAAAAACATGAGTATATGGTCTAGTACACTTCACACACATATATAAAATTGATTATCTACCCGTGTGTTTGCATGGTTGTGCAATATCATTATAAATAACAAATAAATATAATATAATAATGGTTAAGAAATATATATAAAAGATATATAAATTAAATAGTGTTGACCCGTCAGAAATATATATAAATATTTTAATAGTTTAATATGTTTAAGATATTCCCTAATAGAATAATAATCAGAATAAAAACAAAAAAAACAAAATTTAAATAAAAACAAAGAATGAGCCTAAAGGATGTTGTAAGGCCCATCGGAAACCCTAATTATTAAAGAAGGAAAAGGGTAAAGAGAAAAAACATTAAATCAATTACTGAATGACCAATTAAAAGCAAGATATATAGAATAAAACACATGATACCTCCCTCTTCCTGCCACACTTCTATATTTTTTCATCTCTCTCTTTCTATATTTTTTCATCTCTCTCTTCACCGTCGATTCCTTCTCATCTCTGTTTCTCCTTTCATCTTTCTCTCCTTGTTCTCAAACTCGCTCTCTCACTCTATGTTCTTTTCAAATCTCATGAAAACAAACAACAACAATCCTGCTTTCATTCTCACGGTTCAGTCTTGCTACTCGATTCTTTATCATATTTTCACAGTTCCGATTTCGTTTACATAACCTCAAAACTCAATCTCTCTCTGCTCCGATCCAAACTCTTTATCTCTCGTAAGTCGCTTATTACAGTTCTGTTTCAATAATCATCTATCTGTTTCGACTCTGTTCGGTTACAAAGTTTTTACGGATTTGATTTCATTTTTCACAAGAAAAACAACAATCAACACAACCACACATGGATTCGCAGCTTGAACAAGACAAAATCTAGAAAATAAATTGAAAATTCTTCGCAGGTAAATTCTTCTCATATACTTCTATTCTTTAGAGAGATTAATTTGTTTAATGCTTTGTTTTAAATCTTCTACCATCCATAATATAAAAAACATATATGTTATTAAAAAAAACATTTATGTCCATCATTGTCCGTCTGCCACATATCAAATTGAGCTAGTATTAATCATTATTATTATTTTTTATTAATTATTATTACGCTTGTAAATTGTATTGTCTTTGAAATTAAATCTCTTATTAAGTTTTTCAAAAAATATCAAAATAATTTTGATAGTATATTACTTTATTATAATAATAATAGATAATAATAAATTATATATTTTAATTATTAATCATATCATTTTTGTGAATCCTCTCCGTCTACCGATTCTACATCATCGTGAATCCTCGCCGTCCACCGCTTTTTCTGACATCCCTATCGAGCATCTCAATCTCTAGCGTTGTCTCACTTTCTATTGCGCGTGTTCTAACTCCGATTACAGTGTAAGTATTCATCCTTCTTCTTCTTCTTCACTCCATTTTAACCCTAGGTTCCTTATTTCTGAATTGATAAACAGTACTAGCGCACAAAACCATTCGTTTTCGTGCAAAATCAAATAACAAAATGGAAGCAAACAACCGAGATCAAATTGTGGATGTTGGATCGGTGGTTGAAGCTGTTTCTGCTGAGGCCGGTGATGCACCGCTTTACGCCCTCGAAAGCCTCTGCATGCGTTGTCATCAAAATGTATTGATTATGCATTGCTTCTACTCTGGAGTTATTGTATTTATAGGGCTTACCTTTACAGCCTCATCTGATGTTTTTTGTTTTTGTTTTAATCATCTTACTTGAAATTGTGTGATGTTTTTCAGGGAACTACAAGATTTTTGTTTACTTCAATTCCTAACTTCAGGAAGGTACATTTCCTTATTTACCACTCCTTGAGATGAATGCAAATTGATTTGTTTGGATGATCGTGAGTTGAATGTAAATTGATTTATATTTGGATACATTAATGTGAAAAGTAAACTGAACATTGAATTTAAGGATAAAATCAAATGTAGAAGGCAAACACTACAATTTATAGCTTGAATTTAGAGTCAATTTTAGAACTACTTGAGAATGCCGAAACATGTTAAAATCAGTTCTACCCTCTAGAATCAATTTTGACTCCTTCAATCGTGAAACCTTAACATGGTCGTTGAAAAGGCTTCTAGAAGCCCCAATAAGGGAGTAGACCAAATGAAGGATAGTATAATAGTTAAGAGATATAGAGGGAGACTATGATAAACTATGTGCCAAACTAATAAACAATATTTAAGGTTGATGGTTTGTCATATGATTCATGATAGGGCATTCTCGTATCATTGGATTTGTTTAGTTGACTCCGCCTAGTGGGCTGGTGAAAAAAGATTTTAGCTGTTATCTTTTTGTTTTAGTTATTTGTTATGTAGGACATGATAGAAACGGACACATTAGAGAGGTAATGGGAGTTTTGCGTTATGTGGAAGTGTTGGTAATCAGAAGATATAATTTTTAGTATAATATTAATACTGCTTTTAACTCGTTTACTTTATAAGAGGTGGCATTTCTTACGTTACGAACCAATTTTGTATGGTTGAATTAGATCCAATCCAAACTTCTAAGAGCTGTTTTCGTTTACTGCTTCTTTTGTCATGCTTGTAGTTTTATAGGAGTAGGATTATAATCCAATGCTTTTGCTTTTGTGCAGATTTTATTGTCGGCTTTTGAATGTCCTCATTGTGGTGAGAGGTAGGCCGCCCTTAATTTATGCCCTCATCTTGTAGTATCTATCGTGTGTTGATATAATTACTCTTGTTATTTTTCATTGAAACCTAATGTTATTTTATGTTTTTGTTGACCTGCTAGGAACAATGAAGTGCAGTTTGCTGGTGAAATTCAACCACGAGGTTGTTGTTACTCGCTAGAGATCCCAGTGGGTGAACAAAAGGTTGTGTACATTCATATTTAACTCCCCCTGATTATTTATATGAATTTAAGCAAACATACATAGCCTGTGGGTGAATTAAAAAACTCGGTTTAACAGTTGAGGTAGATACTAGACTTAATTGGGTGGAGGGTGCCCCGGTGACTTCCTAGCATCCCGGCATGGTTTTATTATCAGCCAGATGCTACTCCACATGAGGTTCTGTGCTGGACATCAATGGCCAGCCCTAATGCCGCACCAATTTTGCTCACTTTAACTCATTTATATGTGTTTTAAATTGTGTACATGTTTAGACAAGGGATATCTGTCTTGAAAGAGCCAATGATGCATTTAAATGTTTAAGTCATACAAGGCATGTCAAAGTATAATCATGAAATATTTAATATTAGAATTCAATCTTCATCAATTCTCAGCCATGGCCTTAAAGACAGTGAAGTTGTTGATGAGCACTCCATACCATCCACAAACTGATGGTCAAGTGGAAGTGATCAACTGCTGTTTGGAGACATTTCTGCTTTGTTTTTCATCTGACCAGCCCGAACAGTGGGTGCAATGACTGTCTTGGGCTTAATATTGGTGCAACACTAATTTCCACAAATCTAAAGGGACAACTCCATTTGAAAATGTCTATGGAAGGCCCCCACCAGTTCTGAATCGTTTCTTACCAGGGGAATTCAGGTGGAAGCAGTACAAAGAGAATAGAGGGACAGAGATGAAACTCTCAAACAATTGAAGTATCAACTGCAAAGGACACAAAAATCAAATGAAGACTCAAGAAGAAAACAAAGGGTGGACAGATAATTTGCTGCACGTGACTGGTTCTCTTGAAATCATGGCCTCATGGTCAGGTTACATTAGGGGCTCACATCTGCCAAAAGCTAGCTCCACGTTATTACGGCCCATTTCAAATTCTAGACAAGGTAGGAGCAGTGGCCTACAAGCTGCCGCTACCTGAATATTCCCGCATCCATCCAGTGTTCCATGTATTTTTGTTGAAGAAGGCTATGGAGAATTACAGCGTGCAAACTGCCTTCCTTCAAGAGTTGGCAAGTGATAGTGCCAACAATGTGGAATCTGAATCTATTCTAGTCAGCAGGGTGGTCATGTTGTCCGTCAAGTTCTGATCTAGTTGATAGAGAAAGGATGGGAGGATGCAACATGAGAGGATGAACTAAATGTTAGGAAATAGCAAACACAGATTATAAATGTAATTTGAAATCTAGGAGGTATTTTGGTGATATAAAATAATACACGTTTGTCTTAGATTAGATGGAAATATGGAAGTTAGTGGGACATGGTGATACACTGAGGTATACTGTGCACAAATTAGAAAAAGGCTGGGAAACTAAATTCTACATTTTAACATCTGCGTCGATGGTATAACACGAAAATACGGCCTCATGAATTATGTTAGACTCTCCAGTTTTGTAACTGATATTAAATTATTAGGAGAGTTAGTGGGTAATTATTAGAATTATTATATAATTAATTAAGAGTGTTTAGGTTTAGAATAAATAGGGGAAGATATTAGAGAGATGATCATCGTGGAATTGGATAGGAAAAGGGCCATTTTGGCATTTGGGAGGTGCAGACCCTTGAAGTTCTGCAATATCATTCTGTTTTAAAAGGGAGTTTCCCTATATCTTATTCTATATCAGTTGGTTTCTATCAACTGGTATCAAAGCAGTTCTGATCCAAAAGAGATTTTGTCAGTGTGCTGGAAATTTTGGCATGAATATGGCTGCAGATTTGATTCCAAGATTTGATGGAAGGGAGGCCTATTGGTGGCTGATCCAAGCTGAGCAATATTTTGGGTCAAGAAGAATGAGTGAAGAGATGAAGCTTGAGTGGGCTGTGCATTTGCATTGAGAGGAGATGCCCTCGATTGGTGGATTTCTTGGAAGGAGAGTCATCCAAATACTTGTTGGTGGAATTTTGCAAAGGCCATTCTCAAGAAATTCCAACCAGAAGTTTGGGTTTGTCTACTGGAGTCTGAAAATGAAACACAGGAAATCCAAGGCAGTGATGAAATTCAAGAACCAATAGCATCTCCAACCGAAGAAATGATTGGTGGTAAAGTTGAAGACTCACAAATCCAACAATACAGTGAAAAAGAAGTTTGTAAAGTGGATATCAAATCTGATTGCGAGGGTGACAAAGTGAAAAATACAGATTCATTGATGGCCGCTAGTGAAGCAAAGGTCCAGAGAAGTGACAGAGAGTCGGCTATTTCATCACAGGCAAAAGACTCACTATTGTCGGTGTTTGCTACTATTCCTAAGATAAAGTCTAGGAACAAGAAATTTCCACTACTGGTGCCACTGTGGCCACAACATCTGGTCACAAGAGGACTGCCATTAGCAAGAAAATTTCCTATTTCATGTACAACTCAACCTTTATTTTTCATATTATGGGATCCGGGAGGATAAGTTTTTCCTATGTATTTCTTTCACCTTGAGGACAAGGTGAATCTTTAGGGGGGAGTATTGTTAGACTCTTCAGTTTTGTAACTGATATTAAATTATTAGGAGAGTTAGTGGGTAATTATTAGAATTATTATATAATTAATTAAGAGTGTTTAGGTTTAGAATAAATAGGGGAAGATATTAGAGAGATGATCATCGTGGAATTGGATAGGAAAAGGGCCATTTTGGCATTTGGGAGGTGCAGACCCTCGAAGTTCTGCAATATCATTCTGTTTTAAAAGGGAGTTTCCCTATATCTTATTCTATATCAGTTGGTTTATATCAAATTACTGCCGTGTTCTTATGTAAGATGTGCACAAATTAGGAAAGACTGGGAAACAAAATTCTACATATTAACATATGCATTGATGGTAGTATAACCGAAAATAGTGCCTCCTGAATTATTGATGTGTGCTCATATAAGATCCATGTTTCTTATTTTAGTTTGTGGGTGCTTTTTGCTAACTAGTTGGCTAATATGTGAATGCCTTATTAACAAGTTTAATGAATGCAGATGTTCAACCGACAAGTGGTAAAATCAGAATCTGCTACCATTAAGGTACAAAAATTGTTATTTAATTATTTTCTACATATGTTTAGCCTATGAAAATCCTTTGGATAATTGACAGGGTGTTTCTTGTCTCCTTTGAGACTTAGACACAAGCCATCTTAGTTGAAATGACACATAGCATGCATCGATGAATGTATTTGACCTTTATTAGTGTGATAAGACCTGATTGTTGTTATTGTTGATGATAATGTCATGTGCAAGCATGTTATTGGTCCTACAGAACCTTCTTTTCGTATTGATTAAACCTCAATTTTGCTTTGTTATTCTTCTGTTCTCTTTATTGTTTAAATTTTCTGCTGATTTTGTGTTTCTTGTTATTTATTTATTTATTGAGGGGTTCAAGCATTTTGTTGATACTTTCTTTAGTACATATATCTCACCTTCTATATTATTTCTGTTGTCACTTCTTTATTCAAGTCCTGCATTATGCTCGTTGTGCTGTGATATTTATATATGTTTTTTCTTGAATACTAAACTCTGTATTGTCCCTGACAATCTTGCCTGAAGCCTCATTAGCTGATTGCGTGATATTTGCATATGCAACTTTTTACTCATGCATGAAGCCAGGTTTCTGAATTTATAAGATCCGTCTCTTTTGATTCTCGTCGAGTTTGAAAATATGATTAATATATTTGATTCTATTATTGAAAATGTGCAAGTACAATGTATTTATTTTAAAGGCACCTTGCTTATGTGTATAACTGCAGATACCCGAACTCGATTTTGAGATTCCACCAGAGGCACAGCGTGGTAGTCTGTCAACGGTACATCTGTTACATATTTTTATTTTTATCTTTTCCCTCTCCTGATATTGATGAGTCTGCTATTTCTCCTTTTTATGTTAGCTTCCTTGTCATTTATGTCTCAGTTAGTATTCTGACACATGCCTTCATTTTGCCTTGCATGGGCTGAAGTTACTCTGCTTATGCAATATTATGTAATGAATAAACATGTCCCACATGTCCTTTTTATTTGATCAAAACAATATTTCAAGTAAAAAAAGTTAATTTGGTATGTACTATTAGTAAGAATGTTTTGCATATCCATCCAATCACATTTCACCGTGTAGATAATGTGAAAATATTTTAGGTGTCAATTGCAAGTGTCAAGAGTTTTATACTCACAAATTTGACAGAGTTAGGGTATATTCTCTACTAATTGAAGATTTGTTGTCATATGATTTGCCAATATTATTTCTGGTGTAATTATAGGTTGAAGGGATACTAATGCGAGCTGCTGATGAACTTCAGGCCCTTCAAGAGGAGCGCAGAGTATAATTTGTTTCTACCCTTAACCTATATTATTGTTTGATATAAGTTTCTCTTTTAATTTAATAATTTACTGTTATGTTCTTTACCTTCTAGAAAGTTACTCCAGAGACGGCTGATGCAATAGATCAGTTCCTGGTGAAGTTGCGAGCCTGTGCCACAGCTGAATCTTCCTTCACGTTTATTATTGATGATCCTGCTGGAAACAGTTACATCGAAAATCCGTAAGTGGCTATCTGTTGTTGAAAGTTTTTTTTTTCCGAGAGGGAGTGATTGAAGCAGTTTTCTTAGAAGGAAATATTTCAGTAGGGTTTAAGAGAATCTCATATAGTTAAGGTAAATAACAACAAAAAATTCAAGAACTCTTCATCCTAATAGAGCCCTTTCAATGGTCATCCATTTTAGTTACCATTAGCTGACCACCACAAAGAAGCTTTTAGAGAGCCTCAACTATGTAACAGACTATAAACTGTCTGTGAACAACTAACCTGGCTTTCCTCACAGACCTTCAATGGTGAATAACAGAAAACATCATAGCTCTTCACTAAGGTCCTTCACGAAATAGTTTGGGACTAAGTTGACATTAGAGAAACTGGTCCAAACTATAGACCGAACAAACTGAATATTAACCAAAAGCTCTAAAAAACTCACCCCTTAACTGTCCTGCATATGGGAAGTCAAGAAACAAGTGCATGCTAGACTCAGACTATGATTACGTAAAAGTCATTTGGTCATTGGGAGACTATAGAGAATATTCTAACATGCTTTCAACAGTTCAATGCTATAAGTATGAAGGCCAAAAAAAGCCTCTACCTTGCAAAATGATATCCTAATTGATAAGATGATTTCTCAAGACAACCAAATTCACTACGAAAGAAAGACTCATAATTTTCTATGCAGTTTACTAGACAATCTAGAGACTATGAAAAGAGACTGACATTCTATGAAGGATATTTTACATAGGAGTAATATTATATCCTTCTAAAGATAAGAAAGCATATTTTCGCATTGGATCTTGAAAATATTAAAAAACCTACGAACCACATACAACTCTAGGAGTAGGTGTGTCGTTGTGTCTGACATGCGTTGGTGTCTTACACTTATATGATACCCGTACGACATGTGTCAGGAAAGTTAGACAAGTGTCAGAAAAGTCGAACAAGTGTTTGGTTTTTTCTTTGCTTCAGCACTTTCTGAAATGAAGTCAGACACCAGTATGACACTCATACAACACGTGTCAGACAATTCAGACGGGTGTTTCAAAAAAATGTTTTTTTCTTTGCTTAACACTAATAGAGTAAATAGGGCTTAGTGTATGTTAGTAATGCCAGCTGTATGCTGATGTGTAACAATTCTAGCTGCCCTATATAAGAGCCTTTGTATTCGTTCATTGTTAACAATCAATATATGAAATACACACTTTGCTTTATCCTTTTCTCTCTTATGATACTCTATCATGGTATCTAGAGCATTTCTTTTTCTGATCCAGTGACCTTGATCTATGGCGTTTCCTTCTTCTCACGTTAAGCTCTCACATCTTATCTCCGTCAAGCTTGATGATAAGAACTTCAAGCAATGGAAACAACAAATTGACGGTGTTGTTCGTGGCCACAAGCTTCAACGCTTTGTCACGGTTCCGGTGATTCCTCAGCGTTCCCCTTCGACTTTCGATCCTAATCTTAGCAAGGTGAACAATGCATATCTTGATTGGGAACAACAAAATGCTCTTATTTGCACGTGGCTTCTCTCCACGATCTTTGATTCGCTACTTCCAAAGCTCGTTGACTGCACACACGCGTGGCAGGTTTGGATGGAAATACATCGTTACTTCGCCACGTTACTCACAATGAAAGCACGTCAGCTTCGCTCGGAATTGCGTCGTCTCTCCAAAGGTACTCTCACTATTGAGTCGTTCATGGTGCGTGTTCGTGAAATCAATGAATCCTTGATCTCAATTGGGGATCCTGTTCCTCTTCGTAACCTAATTGAGATAGTTCTGATGCACTCCCTGAGGAGTTCGATTCTATTGTCGCTGCTATTAATAGCAAGGATGATCTTAGCTCTTTGGATGAACTCGAGTCTTGTCTCCTTGCACACGAATCGAGATTGGAAAAGCATCGCAAAGCGATCCTCACCAAATATCTCAATACCCTTGGCATTACTCATAGGTTTACATGTCCTAATACCCAACATCAAAATGGCATAGTTGAACGTAAACATCGTCATATTGTAGAAACACGTCTAGCATTATTAGCTCACTCTAACTTACCTCTCAAGTTTTGGGACCATGCTTTTGTCACAGCTGCTTACCTAATTAATAGGTTACCTAGTGTGTCTCTTGCCAACCAGTCCCCTTATTTCAAGCTTCTTAACAAAGTACCTGACTACTTTCATCTTAAAGTTTTTGGCTGTGCCTGTTTTCCGTTCCTTCGTCCCTATAACTGTCATAAGTTGGATTATCAGTCCCAAGAGTGCATATTTCTTGGCTATTCTACCATTCATAAGGGTTATGAGTGTTTTGCTGGTAATGGCCGCATTTACATTTCCATGGATGTCCTTTTTCATGCAACAAAATTTCCTTACTCCTTCTATTTCCCTCTTCTTCCCCTGTTGCATCCACATCACCCTCTTCTACTTCTTCTTCCTGGTCTATACCAGCAATTCCTATGTCTGCTGTTCCTCTAACTCAAGTCAATTCTATTCCTGCTACACCTACTGCATCTAGTCCTTGTAGCAGCCCTATTTCTGCTCCTATTAATTCTGCCAATTCTCCCATCATAACATCTTCCAACAATGCTTCCTCTACTTCTGCACACTCTCCTTCCCACTCTCCCATTACTCCCTCTTCTCTCACCCCTCTCACATTTGATATTGCAGAGGCTAGCACTATTTATCCATCTTCTTTCCAGGAGAAGATTTCTCTTCCCAACCCTGTTTCAGCCTCCCAACAACCCTCTATTCATCCCTATCATACTCATTCCATGCAAACTAGAGCCAAAAGTGGCATTATTAAGTCTAGACTTCACCCTACTCTTTTACTCACACATATGGAACCTACTTCAGTTGGTCAGGCTTTGGCTTCTCCCCATTGGTCTCAGGCCATGAAAGATGAATACCAGGCATTATTAAAGAATCAAACTCGGACCTTGGTGTCACCATCTGTTTCTAGGAAGCCAATTGGTTGCAAGTGGGTATTTAGGGTGAAGGAGAACCCTGATGGCTCCATTAACAAATACAAGGCCAGGTTGGTAGCTAAAGGCTTCCAGCAGCAAGCTTGCAGTGATTTTACAGAGACCTTTTCTCCTGTGGTAAAGCCTGTTACAGTTAGGATTGTCTTGACTCTTGCAGTTACTCACAAGTGGCCTATACAGCAGATTGATGTGAACAATGCCTTTTTAAATGGCACCCTTGAGGAGAAAGTTTATATGCAGCAACCTCCTGGGTTTGAAGCTGCTGACAAGGCCCTTGTATGCAAGCTGAGCAAAGCTATTTATGGGCTCAAGCAGGCTCCTAGAGCCTGGTTTGACAAACTTAAAGGTTCTTTACTGCATCATGGTTTTCATGCTAGCAGAAGTGATCCTAGTCTATTTCTCCTTCACACTGCAAGCTTAACCATAATGGTGCTAGTGTATGTTGATGATATCATCACTGGTAATTCTCCCTCCTTTATTACTGCAGTAATCAAACATATGAATACTGATTTTTCTCTCAAAACAACTAGGCACGTTGGACTTTTTTTCCTTGGCATAGAGGTCACACTTGCCAAATGGTTCACTCCTTCTCTCTCAAGCTAAACACCTGACTGATTTGCTGGCTAAGATTAACATGCTCAATGCTAATGGCGTGCCTACTCCTATGGTGTCCTCAAGTAAATTGTCTAAACTTGGTTCTGAAGCTGTTTCTGATCCCACTCAATTCAGATCTGTTGTGGGGGCTCTTCAATATGCCACTCTCACCAGACCTGAAATTTCATTTTCTGTTAACAAGGTTTGCCAATTCTCCTCTAATCCCTTAGAGGAGCATCAGAAGGCAGTTAAAAGGATCTTGAGGTACCTCAGTGGCACTCTGCATCACGGCTTGCTGATTCAGCCTGCCTCACCCCATTAACCTCTATCTTTGCTTGGTTTCTGTGATGCTGATTGGGCATCAGACCCTGACGACAGAAGGTCTACCTCTGGAGCTTGTGTTTTTCTAGGTCCAAACTTGATTTTTTGGTGGTCTAAAAAGCAGCAGTTGGTAGTCAGGTCAAGTGCTGAGGCTGAGTACAGAAGGATGGCTCAGCTTGTTGCAGAAATCCTATGGGTGCAGTCCCTTCAAGAACTTCACTGCAGAATTCATACTCCCAAACTCCTCTGTGACAACCTCAGTACAGTTACTCTTGCTCACACTCCTGTGTTGCACAATAGGACCAAGCATATGGAATTGGACATATTCTTTGTAAGGGAAAAAGTGTTCTCCAAGAATCTCATAATTGAGCATGTGCCAGCTTAAGATCAGTGGGCAGACTTACTGACTAAGCCTCTTTCAGCAGCCAAATTTCTCCCTCTGCGTGACAAACTGAGAGTGTTCAACATACTTAGTCTGCTTGATGCATCCTCAGTTTCTAAGCGGGAATAATAGAGTAAATAGGGCTTAGTGTATGTTAGTAATGCCAACTGTATGCTGATGTGTAACAATTCTAGCTGCTCTATATAAGAACCTTTGTATTCTTTCATTGTTAACAATCAATATATGAAATACACTCTTTGCTTTATCCTTTTCTCTCTTATGATGCTCTATCAAACACACCTTATACATTTTTTCCGATAATTCTCACACGTCTAAAGATTAAATATGTATTATTTGAAGCAATGTTATCAATTGAAAATTTTGATGATAAGACTATTTTAAACCTTTTTTAATAATAGATTGATAAATGAACGTCAAATACTATACTATATGTAACGGTGTTGGTTTCCTAGATTTTTGAAATTATTGATGTCAGAGTGTCAGTGTCGTGTCCCGGTGTCTGTATCGGAGTCTGTGCTTCATAGTAAGAAACTTAATTATTTCATAACTATGCTCTTCAAGTGAGTTTTAGTGGGGCTTGACGAAGTTTGGATTGCTATCCAAATTGTTTCAAATCTACTGCATTTTATTATCTTTTATTGAAAATCAGTTTAGACAGACAGTCTCTGTTGGTGAAACAGTATGGCACCTATATTTAATTGGGACTTGTTAATAAATATTGGTCAAGCCTTGTAATTGCTTCTATTATATTTAAATGGATTAAATATCACGTGAATAGGTTTGCACCATCATCTGATCCATCACTCACTATCAAGTTTTATGAGCGAACTCCTGAGCAACAAGCATTGTTGGGATATTCTAAACAGAATGAAGGAACTCATGATGAAGTACTGGAAAGTGGAGAAGCAACGGCTTCTGGGAGAATGAGGAGGCAACCCCACGGGTCAGTTGGGGCAGCAGCTGGTCAACGAGCAATTGCGCAAAGTAATAGTGCAGAAATCGCAGATGCCATATTTCGATATTCTGCACCAGAAGAGGTATATTATGCTGAAATGTACTGTACTACTAGAGGTTGGTCTTTTTTTGTTGTTCGACCATTCAGTTTCATATTGCATATTGCTCCTGACAGGTGATGACTTTCCCGTCTACTTGTGGAACTTGTGCCGCTAAGTGTGAAACTCGAATGTTTGTTACCAGTATCCTTTTACCATTTTTCATACTGCCATTTAGACTCTTAGTGCACACCTCACTTTGGAGGAGCCAAACCTTTCCTTTGTCAACAATTCCTCACTTTCTGCAATCTAATGCAATTCTGCATTGTAATATTAGCAGAGCCTGCATGAACTGTGTTTCACTAAATCTTTTTTACACTTTATTGAGCTTAACAATAAACAGATATTCCATATTTTCAAGAAGTAATCGTTATGGCATCTACATGTGATGCTTGTGGTTACCGCAACTCTGAGGTATTTGATGATTTCTGCGCGTAGTTCTCTCATTTGAGGGCCGAAACTGGTATAATTGTTGCTCTTTTTCATGCAGTTGAAACCAGGTGGACGAATTCCTGAAAAAGGAAAAAAAATTACTCTCTATGTGAAAAATATTAAGGACCTGAGCCGGGATGTGATTAAGGTTTGTTTTCTTTTATATTTAAATTTTGACAACTCTCAAGCTCTCAACCCATGAAATTCTGTAGTTTATATACACTAGAGGAAAGACGGGCACTAACATGCTCATCTTGTATAATATATTTTTTATTTTAATTTATCTGTCTGTTTTTTAATATAATACTTGATACTGTGGCTTTATTTTTTTAAAGTGCAACAGTTACTCCAATTTAGGAACAGTAATAGAGTAGTACTTTATAGTGGAGAATCTAAGTTGGCTATGGCATTACTTTTTCATTTCGATGGAACCTATAAAAGTTCATGCAGACTCTTTCTAAATGCCATTTTGAAATTGTAATTTTGGTTCTATAATTTTGTTTCTACACTAGGGTAAAAATAAAACTATACCTTCTTTTTATAATCAACTCAACAATTTGTTGTGGTTATCATTGTAGGAAATATTCATTTCATCATCATAGTGCTTTGTGTAACACCCTTTTAAATTCTAAGGAATATTCACAATTATTCTAATAAATAAATCAGAGTATATTACTAAACAAGGGTGTCACATTTTCATATAAAACTTCACAACAATACATCCTGTTCCGTAACACGGGTTTTCAAAATCTTTAACAAAATAGAATTAACATTTAGTTTTTCGAATCATGGCAGCGAAAATCATAGTTCAAAACACTTCATTATAGTACTTCATAAAAATTAGTCATACTTTATAACTCATACTTATAAATCAAAACATCTCGAGTATCATATAGGGTGACTCAACATCTTAAGACAAAACAAAGAACATAAGTTTCAATCATTCGATCCCAACTCCGATGTTACGTATCAGAGCAAGACTCCCTTTATTCAACAAAAGCGAATAAACGCACTCTGAAGCTATCCTCTAATATTTCTACGGACTATTCTCGATCACCTGCACGTTACCTACGTGGAGGCAACATTCAAACAGAAATGGGTGAGTAAATCATAATCATTATATAAGACATAAGGAATAGACATAGTAAATATGCACATAAGCAAGGCATCCCACATCATCATATATCGTTATGTTATACTCACACCTTCACCACTTCATCAATACACGAACACATATCATCATACACAATGTATCATCAAGCATCACAAATAAATCATTATGCAATGTCACATATGATGTAATGCAACGTCATAGACTTATGCATGTGGTACCAAAACTTCTCTGATGACTCAATCATCGTTATCTCTAAAGATCCCCACCATAGGATCAATTCCTGCTTGTAACTAGAGCACTTCACTGTTGCACCCAATCCACACTATGGGATTGTTGCCTTCACTATCGTCTTATCGTTTTCACTGGACCGAAGTCTTAACTTCACTGGACCGAAGTCCTAGAATATGCCATGAATGTAATGATGCGCAACAACATATTTAATATGATCACGACTAGTCAACACGCATCATCATTCATGATCCGGAACCTAATTCTATTATAACTTAGGTCTCAGAGATATACTCCTTAAGTCTCATTTTTTTCTCCACATAATTAAAATTTATTGCGTTAGCTATCCAACGCTCCGAACGAAACCTCAATCCGAGATCTAGAACTAAAGTTATGACCATTTTAAGATTGTCCGACACAGCCAACCAAATTTGCCATACGTCGCATGGTGACACACCCGTCGTCTAGCGACGCACCCTTCGTGTCCGCTTCGCAGGCGACGCTAGAAGCGACGCACTCCAGAAGCGTCATCCTTTCTCCACCTTTTCCATCGCCTCGTCCTTGCTTGACGACGACCAAAAATGCATGTGTCGTCCGACGACACTACTTTCATCGCTTGACGATGATGCGCGAACAAGATTTTTCTGTTGCAATTTCTGTACTACACCAGTCTAAATCTTCTGCGATTCATCACATTACAGGTCCTAAAACACCATCTGATCACTGGGTTTCATCATCTATAAACAACCTATAATTCTATACTCATTATACATCAATTATAAGTCATTGTCCATCACCAATTCATCAATTTCTCATCAAACAATATCAAATCACCATCTACCAAAACCTAAGGCAATCTACCGATCATCTAAATCTTAAATCAAATATAATAACAATGATAAAACCTCCCTTACCTTGAGATTATTGCTAGAGATTATTGCTAGAGATCAATTCCTCTTCGTACTCTACCGGGATTCCTATGCTCTTCTTGCCTCTTTGTGTCCTAATTCTCTTTTCTCCTCAACGTTCTTTCCAAATCTATCGTACAGATTGAGCGTGTAAAATCCCAAACCCTCTCCTTATACCAAACCTGCCCTCTTAGATCCCTAATAATGAACTTTCCATCACGCCCTCACTTATCCTTCACTAATGTCCACAATGCCCTTATTTTCTCTACATCACATATTATTCTATTTATTTAAATCCAAATAATTCTAAATAATTACTTTTAAATCTAAATAATTCTAAACTAATTATTTAAATTCTATACTCTTATTATCCCATCCTACACCACACAATTCATCATCTTAAACATCTTATTCATCAAGTCATCGTTTGCATCACAGATGCATCACGAATACATATCATATACCATCACAGGGACTAACACAAAGCACCAAAACATCATATATATACTAAACACTTCATAGAGACTCATATATTTACGCTAAATTAATTAAATAAATAATTAATCTAGAATTCGGAGTGTTACACTTTGTGCGACGTTGTTGTCATTAGATTGAGGTTATAGAGTTTAAGGTAACAAAAGACAGAAGGACAAAGATTTTTGATTATGATTATGGTATGATAGTTATGACTAAAGTTTAATGCCCAATCCTTAGTATGATGCTGAACTCCTAATTCTTATCAAATAGGGAAACATATCCTGATAACAACTAAGAAATATGAAAGTTAATCCCTAAGAGATCGTATAGGATTCTCTAAGATATCATGATATTATAAGACATTTTTCACCGAATGCAACACTCCTCACCAAACTAAACCTTATTATACTTTGTAAAAAAGCATGATCAAACTATACAATCTGATAGTTGGAATTGTTGCGAGGTCGTAGTTCTGATGGTAGCGGCCTTGTCAGAACAGTTGTCAGAAATTTTGCAATGACCTCAGACCATGGCGTCAGAAGCTGGGAAAGTGTTTGAATATTGGAAGGGATGATACAGCGGAGAGAGAAACCAGAGATGATGCAGTAGTGCTAGTGTTTGGAAGGATGACAGAGAAGGAACCATTGGAATTTTTGTACAGATGACAGAATAGAGACTTTTAGCTATGAATATGACAAAAAACTGAGTAACTCTTATTCATACTAACACTTGACTCCGAGTTCCAATCTTGCAGGGAAAGAAATCATGATAATAGTTAAGAAGTATGAAAACAATTCTAAGAGATAATAGGAGATCAAGATATTATAAAATATTAATCATACCTTATCATCTAACGGCTTTGTTTTCAGTGATATACTAAAAATTGTGATAACACTCGTAGGTCTTTATGGTGAAGTCAAACCTTTAAAAATGTTGTGATGGTGTGTTTACTCTCAAGCATTTGTTTTGTTCCCCTGCTTACAAATTTGGTTTATATCTCTCCTTACATGGTATGCTATATATGTTGACTGCATTAATTTGGTCTGAATAGTCTGATACTGCAAGTGTACAAGTCCCTGAACTTGACTTGGAGCTGGCAAGTGGCACCATGGGAGGACTTGTTACAACTGTTGAAGGTTTAATTACACAAATCGGTGAGAGTAAGTATGCTACCTCTTTCTCTTTTTACATCTAGATGATGTCTCCTATAGTGAAAAAATTAAGAGTAATTTTTGTGGAATTGTAAAGGAAAGGACAAATAGTAGTGCCAATGATACAAATTGGGAATTTTAGGGTGTTCAAGTCCTGCATTGGGTAGTATGATGAAATGCTCAGTGAAGTAGTAAGGGACTTGGTTCTTCCCCCTTGATAGCTAATTTTAAAGGAGGGTTCCCTAAGTGCTTGGCTTATCATGCTATTAAACCATACACTTGTTGATACCACTAGCAATCAAGACTTTTCAAGTTTTATCTCTCAAAATATCATGTTTAATTACTCTAGAGGTCCTCAAAATATTTGGGGATTTTTTAAATAGATCCATGAATATAATAATAAGTTCAGTGATCAGTTTGAGAATTTTTTAATAGTCCCAGGACCTCTAGATTAATTAGACTTCAAAATTATTTCTTTTAATCCAATAGCCTACACCTAGTATGTTGGAAAAGCCATTTGAAAAGACGGTGCTAATGGCAGGCCAAAAGACACATACCTTTTAAAGAAGAATTTTAATTATTCTGTCATTCATTCACATGTTCATGTTTTTCCTGATTCTTGTGTGATTTATTTTAATATAATCTATATATCTTTGCTTGAACGTTAGGATATTATTGATTTGATTTGATTTGATTGTACAGGCCTTAAAAATGTTCATGGGTTTAGTCTTGGAGACAGTCTTGATGAACATAAAAGAAGCAAGTGGCTAGACTTTCAAGCAAGACTAAGCAAGGTAGGACATAACTATATGAGTCCGTCTCTCTTCCCCTTCTCTATAGAAGGGTACTCTGCCATCAGATTCTTTTCAATGTTTCTCTTATGGCTCACCAGGAGAAATGAGGCGACTAGAAGTAATACATAGCTAAACGCATTGCAGTTTATATATTCTTTTCTCTATTGATTTCTCTTTAACTATGTGGAATAAAATGAAGAAAAATGAGAAATAGGTCGAGGAGTTTTAAGCAAGTAACTTCTCCTAGGAAATAGAATAAAACTTTGGGCTAGAACGGCCAGTGTTCAAATTTTACACTTGTTATATTCTTTTGCATAAATCATGGTTAGTGGATTGAAGCTGTCATACTATCAAATATCTTTCTCTATGTTGTCAATAGTGCGCTATAGCGGAATAACTTGTCATACTATCAAATATCTTCCGCTATGTTGTCAATAGCGTTCTATAGTGCAATTTACCTTAGCGGTAGTAGGGTTCAGCACGACGCTTTTGCCCCGCAAGCTGTGGTCAGCAATAGTGGTAGTAGGGGCCACTTATTGTATCCTTATTTGATTTTCTGGGATAAATTCCTCATATTTCTGTTTTTTAAACTGTTGTCATTTTTTAAGGATATAAATCTCAATCCAAACCCTTGAAGAGTAAAGTCATGTTCTTGCTTACATATAATCGTTTAGTTCTTTTTCCTACTTTAAGTTCTGTTTTATTCTTCTTTTGTGCTGAAGTTTTATTACTCTATACTGTAGATTCTTTATCTAGCAAGTATATTGATCTCTTTAATTTTGTGTAATATTCTATTTTTGAGTATTTATGATTAATTTGTAAATTAGTTTTTAGTCTTTGCAATTACGTTCGGTGCTACGCAATGCTATCTGAGATTAACAACTTAGATCTTCATGTCATTGAAAACTTTATGACTTAGCATCTTTTCTATATGTGCAGCTTCTTAGCTTGGAAGAAGCTTGGACTCTAATTCTTGATGATGCATTGGCTAATTCTTTCGTAGCACCCGCAACAGATGATCTAAAAGACGACAAACAATTAACATGTAAGTTTTTTCTAATAAAAGATTAAGTTATATTAGATGCAGTTGCCATTTTCCAACTCTATTGAAATTGTGAATTTTTGTTTTGATTTGGGGACTGGTATGGTATCTATCCAGTTGAAGAGTATGAGAGGTCATGGGAACAAAATGAAGAGCTAGGTCTGAATGATATTGACACCTCTTCTGCGGATGCTGCTTATGAATCAACAAACACTACTAAGATTGATTGAACATCTTCTGAACTCATATTTCTTTCCTCTCTTGTCTCAATCCAGCACAAGGAGGGAAGAAACATAACCTGAAGGAAGAATTGTTGTGCCTTTAGTAGCTAGGAACATAGAGAGAAAGGAAATGCTTGTTGTCTTATTTAGTGACTTGTTTTAGTTGGTTGTTATGTAAAAGTTACCATTAATTTTTGTTTTTCTTTCTTTTTAGCACACTGTATTGTATGATAATATATTGATAACTATTGCATCCTTAAATTATATTTTTAGTAAAATTTTGCTAACCTCTCTGATTTAGTTATTGTCTTAAAAATATATTCTTTTGACTTGGAGTTCGTTGGTTATTTCTGGTTTTTGCAATACTTGATGCTGTTTATTTAGTTTCCCTTTTTAATCAGCGCATCTCTCTGTTTTCTATAAGAAACAATATATTTTTTTTTGACTTGGTGAGTTTGTTGGTTACTTCTGGTTTTTGAGATACTTGAAATTAGTCTTAAATAATTTCTTTTGACTTGGTATGTTGAAATTTTTCCTGCAATAATCAAGTTTTCCAATTAAATTCATTCGATAACCCATGCATAACTTAGGTGCCGTAATCAAGTTTTCTTTTTGATATAAGAGGAGGTGGTATTCCATTTGACACATGCACTTAAAAAGCAACAAAGATGTCATATGAGATGATCCATGCATAACTTAGGTGTCATATGAGATGGCGTATGCATGCAAGTTTTGTACGGATGTGTCATCTCATATGACGCGAGTGTAAGTCTATTTCCTATACGTAACAACTCATTTTTTTCACCATTCTTCACACTTCTTCTCATTTTTTCTCTAATTTTTTCTTTAACTTCCAGAAGAGATGAATATGTTTATTAATCGGCTACCAAACCCTAGATCAAAGTGAATTTTTAGAACATCCATTCTATTTACCATCTTAAGAGGTCATTGATCTGATAGTTAGACAGAGAAATCTAAGATGGTGAGGTTATTAGAAGAATTTAGAGACTTGTAACGACCACTTTATATGCGACTGGATAACCACAACGTTGGTGGGATGAAGTAAAAAATGACAGGGATGTAATGACTATGATTTGTCGTGTTAAGTGATTTTATTCGTTGTCTGTGTTGTTTTAATTTTGCGTTCAGTTTGTTGTAACCAATCTGCTTAAGGAATAAAAAGTTCAGTTCATTTTTAAAAATAAATTATAAAAAGTGCATACAATAATTACATCACTGTAGCATCCAACAAACATATGGGCTCCTTCAGATCTCACCTTAGCCCCGACTTGAGCCTACACGAGGAATATGACCCAAACAATCCAACATACCTGCAAACATCACATCACCATAGCATTCAACAAACACATGGCTACCAAACACCTTAAGAAACATTATCTTTTTAACCTCCCGATTCAACTGACAAGTACTACCGACCAACCATCCAACCCATACCGCCACTAACACGACCAAATTTTAAGGACATGGGCAACCGACTTTTTAACAGTGGGTCTTCAGGATTATTTAGTGAGCTAACTGATTTCATTGACCCAGATCGCATTGACTTCCCAGGACCCTCGACTCAAAGACAACAAGAACCTCCGAGGAGTAAGGGACAACGACTTAGGATAGCACAAGAGTGCAGAACCAATAGTCGATATCAACGATCGGACCATTAAATTATATGTGATTTTTATTCTCTGAATGTAATGGTTATATTAAATTAGTAATAATAATTTTTATAATTTTTTTATTATTATTTAAATAAACTAAAAAAAATAATTAAAAAATAATAAACAACACTTAGGCGCCATATGAGATGACTCCTCCAAATTGCATTGAACCCATGCGCCATCTCATATGGTTCCTATCTTAAATTTTTTCATCCATGGGTCATCTCATATGGCGCCTCCTCTTATATAAAAAACAAAACCTGATTATTTGGGTGAATTATGGAAAAACTTAGTTATGGAGGGAATTTAATTGCAAAACTTGATTATTGCTGAAAACTTTTTTTTGGCGAGTTCGATGATTACTTTTGATTTTTTGAAATACTTGCTGCTGTTTATTTAGTTTCCCTGAGTGCTTCTCTCTGTTTTCTATAAGAAACAAAATGATTGAATTTAAGTGTATGTTTGAACTTATGTTGACTTGGTAAAAATTACGGTGCATCACTGAATTTACAAAAGTTACATTTTAAGCTTCGACAAAATGCCTCTAAATTTGTTAAATTTATGAGGAGATTTTTCGATAATTTCTGTATTTTTTTGTTGGGGAATTCGATAAGATGTGTAAAAGATTATTGGAATGACGCATGTGATATATGATTCTAGTATCAAGAATCCAATTACTACAAATAAAATGATGTATAAGATTAATGGTGGTAATGTTACTTGTTGGTGAAGGAATGGTGGTGTTCAACTGATGAATGGAGGACTTGAGGTTGATTAGAAGCTCGTTGAATGAATTCAAGAATGACCTTTTATTGGTATGCATTGAAGCCACGAGTGATGTTCTCAGAAGATATCCTCAAGTTGTTCATTGTGAATGTTTTCATTGTTGGCTTTAAATTTTAGACGCTTAGCCTCGTTGTGAATGTTTTCTTTGTTGGCTTCAAATTTAGAAGCTTGAGATAAATTCATGCATTTGAGGTGTGGAAAAAACCCATATTTCTTTAAATAAATTTTAATTGTGTGTCCGAGATTGTGACAAAAGGTATACATTTTTATTCCTTGACCATGAACGGTGGGAAAAGATATTGAACCCAATTCTTGAAAACGATTTATGTTGTAGGGTTTGGAGGCTCAAACAACATTGAAAATACATGATTGATATATGGAAGAGGTTGCATAAGGATTATTTGTGAATGAACTAGAGAATACTTCTCATTCAATTCCTTGAAAAAATGAATAATGTAGTTGGTGTCACTGTAACACCCCAATTCTACCCGATAAATATTATAAAAATCAAAGTTATAAAATTTCGACAACTAAATCAGGATGCTACAATTTCAACTTAAAATAACAGCATTTAACACATATACATAACACTTTAAACTAGGATGAACCAACAACAACATAAATTAATCTTTTAAAACCAACAACTTTCATAACTACGCATCGGAATCATAAAATTCGACTTAAAAGAATGTAACATCTTTATCCAACTGAAACAACTCCAAATAACAAGTACTTAACGAAAATGAACTTAGAATTCAACAACTGAAGTAATAACAACGATAAAGCAACAAACGTTCATCCCCCGAGTGTTACGTATCAGAGAAATGACACCGACTCAAACTACTGAAGGTAAATAATCTTCACTCTGGATTTCCTGCATGTTATCGACATAGGGCAACATTCAAACAAAAGGGGTGAGATATCGACAATATAATATGATGCATGATAAAATAATATATTAGAATCCGTTCATACAAAATCACCATTTCGCAGCTCTTTAACAACATTAACATCATCAATCTATCCATACAATAACTCAGAATGCAACATGAAATGCGGTTTGTTTTTATGCACATGCATGTGGTACCAATGAAGCAAAACTCCCAACTTAATAATCTGACAATAAATATAGGCATCAATAAGGCATAAGCCTTCAATTTAATATTTTTCCAATCCAGGCCAACTTAACGAGCATCAGATCCAACTTGACATGTGATGTATGCAACATAACATGAACGTAGCAACAATAACAACAACTCAACATAAATCAACATTGGCCATAAGCCTATAACATCAATAATAATTCAACATCAACTCAACATAATTCAACTTTTGGCAGCAAGTCTACAACATAATATTTGTCAATAGTTAGAGGCACCTCAACATAATTCATCAACCTGAAATTTCTCAACTCAGAACAACTTATACAACACTGGTATCGACCAAATCAACATTAATGGGAAATAGGGTTAGGGAAGAACTACATGCCCCTCGATATGCACAGGAACTAAGAAAAAAATAACAACTAACTTGTGCTACTCGACACAGACTGCAACTTCGTGCAGCTCGACAACAGTATCGGGCTCCTCGGCACGCCCCACAACCTAATATCGTTTGACATCCAACACATCAATTCCCCTACACACCTTGCAGCCTACATGCCGCTCGACACCTAGCACCATCAGTATCCTCCTCGACTACTAATTTCGGCCAACATCATGGAACAATACGTCATAACGACCACCACAACACAATCTATAATTTCTGGCCAACTGCTCGGAATAACAGCAACGATAACCTAACGACTATATCAAAAAGTAATAATCTACACTAACCTATTAATCGATTCTACCGGGCAGTTATACAGACAACTCAAAGCATCCACAACATATCAAACATGCAATTTCCTATAACAGGTTCATTAATCATACAAGGCAGTCATGCGGTAACTCCCTAAATGACTACAACATGAAGAAACAGGCAACTTCAATAACAAATCCAGAATATCAACGTACAACAGTCATAAATACGACCAATTCCCCCATAACAATCATCATCAATCCCATTATAAGGTCAGAACCCCATCCTTACCTAGATTAAAGGTCGCTCTACCAAAATTTCCAGCCGACAACCTTGCCATGCTCTGCTCGACAATCGTGCAACTTTGCTCCTCTCTTCCGCGCAACTTCAGACGGTCATGCACACGACTTCTTATTTTACCAAATAACTAAATCCTTGTGTCAACTTAATCTTATACCATTAATCCTATTGGACTTAACTTTCACATCTCCACTATACTACTTCCAACCAATAAAATAGGTCCAACACAATTATTCTATTATTCTACTAATTCTAACATTATTGTTATTATTATTATTATTATTATTATTATTATTATTATTATTATTATCAATCAACTACTTAATTAACTAATAATAATCTAGCAACTTATGCCAACAATTCCCCACATCTCACAACTTCAACAAATAATTCGAAAATAATTTAATTAAATAATTAATTAAATAACGAGCGTTACAACTCTCCTCCACT